CTATGACTCTGTATGTGCATATGTGTATGTACATCTTTCTCATATAGCTTTTCTGACTTGTTACATCCATTATGCCTTGCTTAGAAATATTTTTTCAGCCGGGCGTTGGTGGCGCACGCCTTTAATCCCAGCACTCGGGAGGCAGAGCCAGGCGGATCTCTGTGAGTTCGAGGCCAGCCTGGGCTACCACTAGACAGAGAAACCCTGTCTCGAAAAACCAAAAAAAAAAAAAAAAAAAAAAAAAAAAAAATAAAACAGTTCCTCATGGTGTGGTGACCCCCAGCCATAAAATTATTTTTGTTGCTACTTCATAACTGTAATTTTGCTACTGTTATGAATCACAATATAAATATCTGATATGCAGGATATCAGACATGCAATTCGGGGCGGGGGAGGGGGTTTCTATCCACAGGTTGAGAATCATTGTTTTAGCTGCTGCCGCCAGCCAAACAGGCCTCTGTGAGCAATGTTGATCTTTGAAACCTGTAAGTAGAGGTCACTATCCATAAAACCCAGAGCTACTGTTCGTTCCTCGGTGAGCTTTGAGCTGCAGGCTGTACGTGCTATCCTCACTGAGCCTGTGACTCAGACCTACACACACACACACACACACACACACACACACACCCGTCTGACCCATCTTTTTACCCTCTCCATCCACACAGATCCCCTGCTGCTTCTGTATCCATTCCTACGGCTGTCTCAGGCCTTTGCTCCCAAACCTCGTCAGCCCTTTTCCTCAGCAGCATCTCTTGAAGCCTTCGTGGAGTGCTTTACCCAAAAGGGAAGCCTCAACATGCAGCCTTCCTGCCCTAACTGTTTCCAACTCTGTTTTTTTTTTTTTCCCCTTCCATATGAAAATGAGTTTAGGGCCCCAAGCATTACTCTGCTTCCCTTTGCCACTGGAAGCCACAGCCCGGAAGCTTATTCTCAATACACGGTGAGCGTGTGCGCGCCCTGCCTGCCAGGGCGGGCAGCTGATGGGAGGCTGTGCCCCAGGCTTGCTGTGCAGACTGTCCTCCACAGTGGGAATGGAGGAGGCGTCCGTCCTCAGAGGAGTCTTCCCACTGCGCATCCCCTGACCCCTGACCCCGTGGCAGAGTTCTGACATCACACTAGAAAGAACCGCTTGACCCAGACCCTCCTCATTAGTTCACGGGTGTGGTTGGCTACCGAGGACTCACTGACCGTGCACCAAAGTACCCAGGGGTCTCAGGATGAGAAGGGACCCTGTGGGCTCTAACGTCCATCCCTCTGACCTCTCTCTGTCTGCCCCAGCTTCTAGACATCGGTTCCCAGGCTCAGCAGGACTCTGCCATGACCCTGTGGACTTATGGCAACTAGAGTCGAGGATCCTGGGGCTGGGATCACGTATGCAGGTGGCGCTCAGCCATGCAGACTCAGGCGACTGCTTCTCTCTCTTTAGGCCCAGCACGGCTCTCCATGTCCCATTATGTCTTTTTTTTTTTTTTTCCATTGAGGGGACCTGAAGATCCTCTTTCCCAAAGCAAAGGCCCCTTCTGGGTATTTCCTTCGGACAGGGTGTACAGTGGGGGAGCAAAGGATAGGCAGGAGATATCCTCTTCCACCGGAAGATGAAGGCAGGAAAAGTTACTCCACCCACAGGAAGTCCCGAGGACACCCCGTGCCCTGGAAATCCCTGTATGAATGCTATGGGAGCTTGGGTGTCCGGGGGAAGGGGAACCCAGCCACACCCAGGTCTGCTGAGAGCTGATGGTCTGAGTTTCTGGGGAGCTACATCTACCAGAGCCACAGATGGAAGTCCCACTTGACATCTGCCCCCGCATCTTGCAAGAACCCTGACACACACGACCCCTCAAAGGTGGTGATGCTGGCCTCACAGTTAAGGCCTGGCTCATTCTGGTGATAATTTCAAGGCACACTGACCCCTCCCCTCTGGGCGCTGTCCCCCTTCTGAGGTATGGCCTGGGGGGGAAGCAAGGGAGAAGGGAGGTCTTAGTATGCAGGGTACAAAGAGAAGGATGAAAGGAACCTCAGGAGAGATGGCTGTGTTCTCTATTCCATACTTTTTCTTTCAAGACAGGGTTTCTCTGTGTAGTTTTGGAGCCTGTCCTGGAACTCACTCTGTAGACCAGGCTGGCCTCGAACTCACAGAGATCCACCTGTCTCTGCCTCCTGAGTGCTGGGATTAAAGGCGTGCGCCACCACCACCCGGCACGTACTTTTATACTGACCTCCCAACTCTGCTCCCTGGACAGGCTCACAGGCACAAACCCAGGCACACACAATGCTCTCAGACCAAGAAGAGAGCTGAACCCTACAAGGGTTCTTCTTAACCTCCCAGCCTCAGTTTCCCGACCTGTCCCCTGAGAGCGCTGGGTAGACTGTCCCCACACAGTCTCTGCAAAAAGTCACCCCTTTCCACCCACAGCCCTAATTATCACCTGCGGGCCTCCCGGCCCCAGGGCGACTTACCTAGGCCCAATCGGAGACCAAGACAGAGCACGGATCAGAACTGCTGGGGGTTGGTGTACAGGCTTGACCGGGCTGCTAGACCATGCCCCTGGAAGAGAAGAACACAGGTCACGTGGGACGCTGGCATGAACCCACCATGTTCCATCCACTTGCACCCAAGCATGGCGGCTGCGGTTGTGTGTCTGTTTACAAGTCCTACAATCTCCCATTAACAGAAGCCTCTGAGACACTGCCCCCGCTCGGCTGGGGTTCCATTCTCACAAAGCCAGTGTAGGCACGGATCACGGCCATGGCTCTCCAGTCCACAAACCCTGGCTCAACTGGGTGACTCTGGGCCATCCGAGACGCAGCTATGTGTGTGGTGCCTGGCTCTCTGTCCCTTCTGGTCATTAGGAGGCTTGGTGGAACATTCAGGTTGCGTTTGGATAAGTTCAAAGGGGCATCCATGTCTGGCCCCCTACCTGGGCTTACCCCAGGCCCCCTCCTCAAAGCCCGAATTGCCCCAGCCAATTGTCCCAGCCTCCCTGTCTCAGCGCTGGGTACACAGAAGATGTATACAATGTATACATCTAATGTGTACATTGACTAAAAATACATCCCAGGGCTGGAGAGGTGGTTCAGTGGTCAAGAGCACTGACTGCTCTTCCAGAGGACCCGGGTTCAACACCCACATGGCGGTTCACAGCTCTCTGTAACTTCAAGATCTGACGCCTTCACAGGGACATACATTCAGGTAAAAACACCGATGCACATTAAAACAAAACCCGATACATCCCAACTCAGAGAGTACACAAGCCCTCACCATCGCGGATAAAGAAATACCCCGTCAGCATCAAGAGTCGCTCTGTACCTTTCAAGATGCCCAGCAACCCAAAGTCCCTGCAGAGGGCCAGCTCTGAAGACCACCTCTCTCTTCCCCGACGGCTCCCCACTTGGGGACTGGTGTCCCCTTTCCAGGTGAACAGTATTATGGGAACGTTCCTGAATAGTCTTGTACCTCACTCAAAGCTGTCCTTGTCCCCTGAGATCCTCAGGACAGACCAAGGAGGGAGGTCCAGCGTCACGTCCATTTCCTTGAGGGAGAAAGTGGGGCTTAGGGAAGCTGCTAATTGACTCAATAGTCAAAAGGTAGCCAGAATGGGACCTGGGAAGCCCTGTCACCTGAGCACAGCTTCTCTTCCTAGCCTGATCTCAGTTTCCCTTTCTGGCACACGGTCCTTCCATCTACAGCAGTGATCACATTCCTATCTAGTCTTTGC